GCCAATGACTGATCATCTTTCAATTCCTATTAATTTGACATGAAATAAATGAAAAGAAAATATTTATCTCAGGCCTTCAGCAGAAAGTATGCATTTTTTTGGATGACCACTTACTTTGAGAAGATTTTCTATGTTATTGTTATTGATTGATGGCGGAGATGAGATTGATGAACTCTCAGTTGTTTGTACTTCAATGTTTTCAGTGCATTGGGAATATGGCTCCTTAATAATATCTTCTAATGTCTAGTAGAAACAAATGAATTTAAGCTGAAACAAGTGTTTGAAAATCTATTAAATAAGTCGAGTTAAAAGTCACCAATTAAACTCGTCCATTTACAATTTATGGAACGATATGGCATATTTTTACCCTATGTCTTTCTCTCTTTTCATATGCAGTTCGAGTTTGAGATAGTGGTGCTTTAACTGCTTGTGAGATTGCATGCACAGTTGGAACTGCGTCAGGTTTCAGTCGATTTCTAGAACCAGAAAAAAATTGCTTGTTAAAAAATTGCATACATAGAAGTACTGCAAGTATTCCCAAACTAATCGTTTTTTGTAAAAAGAGATTTTTACTTACTGTCCTTGATATGCAAACGTCTTTTTGATGTCATTATCAATGTAGTCCGACTGAAGAAAATGCAGGCTACAGAGGTAGCTATACATTGCCAGTTTTGTCTTCTAGTTTTTACAAAATGTTCCCACTGTTTTCTTATTTTAGGTTCCTTTGGAAACTTATGAATACTTATATTGGCTTTTGACTGCGAACTGCAGCTGTGGGCCACACAGCGTTTTGTCATAGCTATCTTTTCTTGTTCATATTTTCCCGCCACCGGCCTTGGAGAGAAGAGCCGTGTTCCACCCGTGACGTCACATCCGGTATGGCGGGTTCACCGAGCGAATTTCGCGATGACAGTTTTCGTCTTCTCATTTTCTTAGTTTAAAAGATTTTTCTTTAATTTTTTTTTGCAATGCAACAATTATTTACAAGGTAAGGAACATTTAAATAGGGTATTTTACAGAAAGTTTTTGGGGTTCGGTCTATGGCGCTTGGACTTTAATAAAAGTCTTACCTGGTTAGAAACACCTTGGAATGAACGTTTGCGTTTACCTCGTCTTTCTTGTACTCGAACAGGCGATGGCTCACACCAGGCCACTTTTCGCTGTACAATGATTCCATTTGTACAATGTGTCGTTCCTTGACCAGGCAGAGTTTCTTCCAGTATGTCGATGTTGTCCCAACAGAAAGTACTAAACACGTTGGGCTGGATAATCTTTGGTAGTATTACCCCCTGAACTTCTGTTTTCAGTTGTTCTTCTGCCCACCATGTCTCAATTTGGAGCACCTGATCATATGATATGGCATGGCCCAATCGATTGAGCAGTGTTATTATTTCTTTGCTTCCAGTTAGATTTTTGACTGTGAGAGATAGGGATACATGTTTCGATGTTTTCTGTCTTCCCTTGGAAACATTGTAGAGAAGGTCCTGGCCAAAAGACTGAACCAATCGCTGTACAGGGGTTTGTTTCGGTTCAACTTCATCTTCTTCACTTTTGGGTTGGCAATCGTCATCAGTTAGTATCCAGGTAAGAAAATCACACAGAGAATTTGGCAAAGATATATTATGGTCGCTGACATATGGTGGCCATGGCATGGCTGCATCGTGGGTCAAAAGGCTTGCTCGAATACTCTTTGCAGCATAATACAAATGGTTTCCATAGGTTATATCATCGCTTTTAACATTCATTTCTTCGACGTTGTTGGTATTTACAGCTGTCTCCACAATTTCCCCTTTTGGTACCTTGCTACAATAAACAAGCTCACTTTCGGAACGATATTTTGGATGCCAAAACATCACTCTGCCTTGATAAGCTTTTAGAATTCTTGCTTTAAGCTTTTCTGTATTGACTGTTATTGATTCCTTGGAGCTGGAATTTATATATATATTATTTACGAAGGTCACTCATCCGTAAAACTTGTTCAAACAAATTGGGCTCAATCTCTGATTTGAGCTTCTGAAACGCTACTTCATACTGACTTTCTTCTCCTTTATGGTCGGATCCTTTGACTTTTGCCTGCTTGAGGTTGGTATAGCTGCGATAACAAGACTTATGGTAACATACTTCAAGAGCAATAGCGTCTTGATCAGCTAAAGCTACCACAAGTCTTGTGTCATTTCGGACCTTTGCCGCCTCAAGAAGACTTTCTCCGGCTTGTCGAGTTTCGCAATTTGTCAACCTCTCTTTTCTCCGTCGGTCCTTTCCRTCATTCTTTTCTTTCTGGCAAATCCAACAACTCTTCGTATTTGTAGATTGTAGAGAAGATCTTRTTTGAGGTATTTCATGTTTCTCTTCATTTGATGTCCGTGAGGGAATTTCCTGTTCAAGCTTCCTTCTTTTGGCAGCTAATCGTTCAAGGTGACTTTTGGATGTGTATGACTTATAACATAAACGATGGTAGCCTTGAAATGGACCTCTATCCCATTGCTCCTCCATAGTTTTTGAAATGTCATCTTTTCTAATGTCACAAGCATTTTTAAACGTTTCCCAGCTTACAGTGGTGAAACTAGTGAGAGGATCTTGACACTTGGTTCCTGCAGTATGACATAGACAACGGGTTGTTGACTCTGATGTCTTTTCATTTGAAGATGCCATGTGGGAGCTTTTCCAATGATGCTTAACTTTGTTCAAAGCCAACCTTACGAATTGCAGGATACTAAAAATATCATAAGCAGGAAGACTACACTCTCGACCTTTATTTAAATAAAAACATTTTTATAATAAAAAAAAACGATTTGATATTTTTCACTAGCCAAACTTCGTTGATTAACTTACTTGGATATGAAATACACATCCTTAAGTCGAATGGTCAGTTCACATGATCACCGAAGTATAATTTGCAAATAAACCACGAATATACGACAAATTCCACTAACAGTCAAGTTTTTAGGTTCCTCTAGATCAAATAATCTTTATATAAGTGTTAATTACCTAAATAGTAAAATAAATGACGTTAAAAAATCATATACTTACAGCGTTTACAGTGCCTCTACACGTGTACGTCCGCCATATTGGATTATGAACCGCTGATCTGAGCAAGCTCAAACAGACACAGGGAGCCCCAGTAACTAACTGTCTTATTAGAAATCATAGTGCATTTCTTAGATATCTTTTTTTTTACTTTTCAATCTTCTATGATATATGATTTACATTGATTTTTAATATAAATCTTTTAGGTCCTCAATGAACACAGAAAGTTCAAAAGTTCCTCCCTTGCTTATATATACGATATCTATCGATTTATACCTTTGTTTCA